TTGCTCCTCTCCCCTCCACCCCCAGCGCCTCCTGATGCCACAAAACATCTGATCCGCGGCAGGCAGTAGGCGCTGATCGGTGGGGCCTGCTGGTGAGCAGGAGGCGCTGGGGGAGGTTCTGTGAGGGGGGCTCCTCCTCGCCTCCCCCCGCCTGCCTGCCACCCGCTGCTTGCCTCCCTGTTCGCCTCTTCACCCCGCTCACCCACCTGCCTTACCTCACCGCCCAAAGCACAGGACCCGGGGCAGTCGCCCCAATTTTCCGTACCCAAGGGACAGCTCTGCTGAGCCAGTCTTCTCATTTCAGGCAGTCAGGACCAGTGTTCCCTCTAATTTTTCCCCACTCATGTGCGGAACGAATTTTGTTATGTGCACCAATATGGAGGTGTTGAGTGACACATCACCTTCATATTGGTGCACATTACAAAATTCATGTGGTGGGGCCGAGGCATTTGGAGTGTGGGAGGAGGCTCCAGGCTAGGGTAGAGGGTTGGGGTGCAGGGGTGCGAGGGCTCTGGCTGGGGGTGCAGTCAAGGTTGAAGGGTTTGGAGTGCAGAATGGTGCTCCAGGGCTATGGCGGGGCGAGAGTACTCCCTGCAGCTCTCTCTCCCTGTGGCAGCTCCAGGGCTGGAGCTGTAGGATAAGCACCCCTTCCCTGGTCCCAGAAGGCCCAGGCTGGGGTTGGTTCGGGCCCAAGGGGGAGGGGCACCCCGTCTGCGCCTGGGTTCAGGACTCTAGGCCCCATCTGGGTCGCACCACCAGGCCAGTCCCACATCTGGGGGTGAGGCGGGCCACGCCTAGGGGCGGGCCGGGCCACAGCAGAGTTGAGGCCAGCAGAGGGGCGCCCCTCCCCCAGCTGGTCCCCGGGCGGGTTCCTTGAGTGCCTGCGCGGCACTAAACAGACTGCTGGGCAGGTTACAGGGAACTTGAGTCAGGACACTGTAACATGAAATGCAGTAAGACTTCAGCTCACACAGTATCTTTCTGTGAACAACACTGCCCAGCATATTGGTGTCCAAAACTAGTTGGACTATCGAAGAACAACTAAAGGACTTCAGCATATAGAAAAAGGCTTCACTGAGGTGAGCATGTGGGTGAGGGAAAACTTAATAGGCCAACAGACTACTGAAGCGGAACTCCATCACCACAAAGTGGGTTCTAAGATAAGCCCAGAGCACCACCGTATCCTTGTAAAACCTGGAATAACGTGCACCAGCGGCTGGGGCATGACTGCAGTCATTGTTCAGTTTCATTAGCTTTCTCAGGACCGCGCTGATACCACTTGAAACAAGGCTTTTTAGTGAATGGTTTGAAGAGCAATAAGCCCTGCATAAGGCCAATAAGGAGCTACAGATAGTGCCTGGCTGTGACAGGTTCATGGCAGGCTGAAACAGTTGCCCAATGTACCTGGATGGAGTTAGTTGGACTCAGGCAGAAGTAAGGGGTCTCTTTGTACCTCACTGCAAACTTTTTCCACTTGGAGTTGTAGGTTCTTCTGCTAGGTGGCTTTCAAGAGGCCACAAGTTGCCTGCTTAAAGACACCATGACTACAGATCTCTGCCTTGCCAGGAACCATGCTCTGAAAGCCAGATTCTCAGACCGAGGATCAGCTTTGGCGATCTGCAACAGGTCAATGAACCACACCTATCTGGGAGGGCAGAGGGCTTTTGGGATCATTGAGCGTCTCTCTCTCTCCTGGACTTTGCCAGAAAGTCTCCTTTCATAGGCCTGCCCAGGAGGCGTCCCTTTATAATGTGGGATTTTCTTAGTGCCACGAGCAGGACACTAGTGGCTTATTGTTCATGGGAGTGCTGAAGTGATCCACCTTTGGTGCCCTTTCCATGGGGGAGATGTAATCCACGGACCACTCTCGAGGATCTACCACAGATCTGTCTGCAATCACATCTTCCTTTCTTCAATCCTTAGTGGAACAAAGGATCTGGTCCAAGAGGTGAATATATAGTAGAACCTCAGAATTACAAACACCTCAGGAATGGAGGTTGTTTGTAACTCTGAACAAAACATTATGATCTTTCAAAGGTTTACAATTGACTTAATCCAGCTTTGAAAATTTGCTATGTAGAAGGAAAATGCTGCTTTTAACAATTTTAATGTAAATGAAACAAGCACAGAAACAGTTTCCCTACCTTGTCAAATTTTTTTTAATCTCTTTTTTTTTTAAGTAGTTTACATTTAACAGTACTGTATTTGCTTTTTTTTGGTCTCTGCTGCTGCCTGATTGCATACTTATGCTTCCAAATGAGGTGTGTGGTTGACGGGTCAGTTCGTAACTCTGAACTGCCTGGTAATAGCGACCATAATGTAATTAAATTTAACATCTTTGTAAGGGGGAAAAATGCCAAAAGAAACCCACCACGGCAGCATTTAATTTCAAAAGGAGGAACTGCACAAAAGTGAGGAAGCTAGTTAAGCAGAAATTAAAAGGAAAAGTCACAAGGATGAAATGCCTACAAACTGCATAAAGACTATTTAAAATCATCATCACAGAGGCTCAAACTAAATGTATATCCAAATTAAAAAACAAGCAAACAAAAAAAACCCAGTAAGATGACCAAAAAAGTGCCACCATGACTAAAACAGCAGAGTAAAAGAGGCACTTAGAGGCAAAAAGGCATCCTTTCAAAATCAGAAGTCAAATACTACTGAGGAAAACAGAAAGGAGCATAAACCCTGGGAAGTCAAGTGTAAAAGTATAAGGCAGGCAGGCCAAGAAAGAATTTGAAGAGTAACTATCTAATGATAGCTAATAACAGAGAAAACAGAAAAATTATTTATTTATTTGTACATCAGAAGCAGGAAGCCTGCCAAACAATCGGTGGGGCCACTAGACGGCTGAGTTGCTAAAGGAGCGCTCAAGGAAGACAAGGCAATTGCGGAGAAGCTAAATTAATTCTTTGCATCAGTCTTCATTGCAGAGGATACGGGGGAGTATATCTCCAGCCATACTTTTTAGGTGACCAATTTGATCCACTGTCCCAGACGGAAGTGTCACTAGAGGAGGTTTAAGAACAAATTGATAAATTAAAAAATAATAAGTCACCAGGACCAGATGTTATTCACCCAGAAGTTCTGAAGGAACTAAAATATAAAATTGCAGAACTACAGTATGTAACCTCTCTCTTAAATCAGCCTCTTTACCTGATGACTAGAGATAGCTAATGTAATGATTTTGTTTGTTTGTTTTTAAAAAACGGCTTCAGAGGTGATCCTGGCAATTACAGGCCAGTAAACCTAACTTCAGTATCATGCAAATTGGTTTAAAACTATAATAAAGAACAGAATTATCAGACACGTAGATGAACACGATATGTTGGGGAAGAGTCAACTCAGCTTTTGTAAATGGAAATTATACTTCACCCATCTATTAGAATTCTTTGAGGGGGGGTCAACAAGCATATGCACAAGGGGGATCCAGTGGATATAGTGCACTTGGACTTTCAGAAAGCCTTTGTCAAGGTCCCTCACCAAAGGCTGTTAAGCATAGTAAGCAGTCATGGGATAAGGGGGAAGGTCCTCTCATGGGTCAGTAACTGGTTAAAAGACAGGAAACAAGAGTAGGGATAAATGGTCAGTTTTCACAATAAAGAGAGATAAATAGTGAGATCCCCAAAGATCTGTACTGAACCAATGCTGTTCAACATATTCATAAGTGATTTGGAAAAGGGGGTAAACAGTGAGGTGGCAACATTTGCAGACGAAAAAAAAGTTACCCAAGAGTTAAGTCCAAAGCAGACTGTGAAGAGTTACAAAGGGATCTCACAAAACTGGGTGACATCATGGCAGATGACATTCAATGTCGATAAATGCAAAGTAATGCACATTGGAAAAAAATAATCCTAACTATACATATAAAATGATGGAGTCTAAATTAGCTGTTACCACTCAAGCACTGGATAGGTCCCTGAAAACATCTGCTCAAAATGCAGCAGCAGTCAAAAAAGCCAACAGAATGCTAGGAACCATTAGGAAAAGGATAGATAATAAGACAGAAAATATCAGAATGCCATTATATAAACCTATAGTACACCCACATCTTGAATACTGCACGCACTTTCAGTAGTCCCATCTCAAAAAAGATGTATTAGAATTGGAAAAGGTACAGAGAAGGGTAATGAAAATGATTAAGGGTATGGAACAACTTCTATACAAAGAGAGATTAAAGAGACTGGGACTGTTCAGTTTAGAAAAGTGACAATTATGGAGGGATATGATAGAGGTCTATAAAATCATGAATGGTGTGGCGAAAGTGAATAAGGAAGTATTATTTGCCCCTTCACATAAATACAAAAACTAGGGAGACAAGGTGGGTGAGGTAATATCTTTTATTGGACCCACTTCTGTTGGCAAGAGAGACAAGCTTTTGACCTGAAGAGAAGCTCTGTGTAAGTTTGAAAACTTGTCTCTCTCACCAACAGCAGTTGGCCCAGTAAAAGATATTACCTCACCCACCTTGTCTCTCTAATATCCTACTACTAGCACAGCTACACCACCACAACATACAAGAACTAAGGGTCACCCAAATGAAATTAATAGGCAGAAGGTTTAAAAAAATAAAAATAAAATAAAAGGAAGTACTTCTTCACACAAAGCACAGTCAACCTATGGAACTCACTGCCATGGGATGCTGTGAAATCTAAAAGCATAAATGGATTCAAAAACGAATTAGACAAGTTCATGGAGGATGTCTAATGGCTAATGTCTAATAGCCATGATGGTCAGGCATGCAACCCCATGCTCTGGGTAAACCTAAACCTCCAACCGCCAAAACCTGGGCCTGGATGACAAGATGATCACTTAAAATTGCCCTGTTCTGTTCATTCCCTCTGAAACATCTGGCAGCGGCCACTGTCAGAGATAGGATACTGGGCTAGATGGACCATTAGTTTGACCCAGTATAGCCGTTCTTATGTTCCCTGCCAAGTGCCTGCTGACAAAAAAATGGGAGGGACACAGCTTGTTCCCAAATCTGGACTGCCCAGTACCTCCTTGTCTGTTGACTGAAATGGGTATCAGGTTGCCATGCTTTCCATGAAGACCATCACTGGGGATACAAGATCACTGAAGGTCTTTGGGATTAGGATAGGACTCCATCTCCAGAACATTTATGTGCAACTGCTGTTCCTGAGGAGACAAAGTTCAATGAAGGGGTAGTCCCTCAGCTGCAGTTTAGATAGGAGGTGTTGAGACATCCAATCTGTTACACAGATATGAAATGGAAGCCCTTGTGTTGCTTATTTCCAGTGGGATCCCAGGGTCTGCTGAGGTTGCCTCATGTGCAGATTGTGCCATGGAAACTACAAACACAGTTGTAGCCACTAGATAGAACATTCATAGCATGGCCTGTACTGTCACCTGCTGACTTTTCATTATCTTTTCTGCCAAGCGAATTAGATGTTGGATCCCATCCTAGGCAGGAAAGATTTGAGTTGAGATATCTAAGAGGGCTCCTGAATATGACAATTGTCTTCTGGTGCAAGTTGGAACTTTGGTCATTAAGCTTCTTGATAAAGTATCCTAAGAACCCCACGGGATATACACACTGATCTTTGACACCAACCAGAGCAGTGTCCTTAATCAGTTAATTGCCATGGCAGGGGAATGTCGGGGCTACCTACAGAGACCAGGAGTCCACAACTACCAAGCATTTAATGAAAACACAGTGCTGATGCCAGTCCAAAAGTGCAGATAATGCTGTTCCCCTACAACCAATCAGATATTCCCAGTGCTTGAGACGTTTCCCTTTGTGCACAGAAGCATCATTAAGGTCCAGGGCATTCAAGCAGCTGATTTTCTCTAGCACACACGATGGCTCCTAGGGTAACCATCTTAAACTTTTCTTTTGCCAGATACCGATTCAGATTTCCAAGATCCAGGCTGTGCTGGAAATTTCTCATCTTTTTGACTATCAGAAAGTATCTAGAACAATGAAGGTGTTAAACAACTTCTACTAAAGTTCAACATTTTTAAATCAGCAAGTCCAGGTGAGATGGGGTGACGACTCACCAGCGTGACGCCTCCTGATGGTTGTCCAGGGAATTAGCTCTTTCTCCAGCTTCGGAGCGACCTCTGATGGCTGATGTCTTGCCTGCCGCTGGCCCCTGTGTCCCTCCCAGACCCCGGTGCCCTTTGTCTCGGGGTTCTGCTCTCTGCAGTACCCACGCAGTCTCTGGGTCTCCCCTCCCAGGGGAACTCCCAACCCTCTATCCCCAACCTTGCCTCAATGGCTACTGCCAGTCATCATCTAGCCCCCGCTCCCTGGGGCGGACTGCAGTCTCTAAACCACTCATCATCGGCAGAGGCAGCTGGCCCCCTTGCCAATCTCTGGGTTGCCCCTCTGCAGCCCCAGTACCTTTTGTGGGCTCTTAACTCGGCCTGCAGCCTGGGCTTTGCTAGGCTGGAGCTCCCCAGCTTCCTCTGCCCTTCCCCAGCACTACTCCACTCTAAGTAACATCCTCAGCTTCCCAGGCAGTCAGGTCCTTCTCTCTCAAGAAAATTAGAGGAAGTGTATGTCTGCAGCTTCTGACCCACAGCCCTCTTATAAGGCCCAGCGGGGCCCTGATTAAGCTGACCATAGCTGTGGCTGCTTTCCCTACCAGCCCAGCTTTCCCCACTGCAGCTGCTTTATCCCCTTCAGGCAGATAACTTGCACCCAAGAGTTTTAAATGAATTGGCCAAGGAACTCTCTGGACCAGTAATGTTAATTTTCAGGTGTCAGAGTAGCAGCCGTGTTAGGCTGTATCCGCAAAAAGAACAGGAGTACTTGTGGCATTTAGTAAATCTTTAAATAATGGGAAATTTCCAGAGAACTAGAAAAAAGCTTATCTTGTGCAATATTTAAAAAGGGCAAGCAGGACACTGATCTCAAGCAAAATAATGGAACAGCTGATAAGTGACTCAATCAATAAAGAATTACAGGATGATAATATAATTAATATCCAGTCAACGTGATTTTAGATAATAGGTCTTGTCAAACAAACTGGATATTATTTTTTGAGACGATTACAAGTTTGATTGATAAGAGTAATTGGGTGGACAAAACACCCCTAGAATTCTGTAAGGCATTTGACTTAGTACCACACAACATTCTGATTCAAAAATTAGCACTATACAATATTAACATAGCCAGATTTTAATACACTTATGTGCTAACAGATGATTCTCCATTAACATTTTGAGATCTATCAATGAATGACTGTGTTGCGAAAGACTGGTTCTCAGCCCAATGCTACTCAATACTTTTATCAAGGACCTGGAAAAAGTAAAAGTTTACTTACCAGTAACTTTTGTTCTTCATGAGTCAACTCTGATTTCATACTTGGAAGATTGGCACCCCCTTGTCTGAGGGGCTGTCCACTGGGGCTGCATGACCTTAGTGACATTGACATTCAGTTTCATAACTCATATCAAGGGAGCACAGCCCCCAAACATATCAGTTCCTTCCTATCTGCCACCAAGAGCATTAGGGAACTATGGTGTGTGGTCAGCCCCGCAGACCTGGGCTAATCCCCTTGGTTTAAATAGTTATAGCTCAATTATTACTGCTGATAAAGTTGGCAGAGGCCATTAAGGTTGATGGGAGTGGTATGAGGAGGACAAGATCACTGTTACAGAGAAATTCAGATCACTTGATAAATCAAACTCCATACATTTTAATACAACCAAATGCAAGGGCCAACATACAGGAACAAAAGAGTAGGTTATACTTACAGGGTGGGGCCTGTATCTGGGAAAGCTGAGCCTCTGCAAAGGATGTTGTAGATAATCAACTGAACATGAGCCCCCATTGCAATGCTGCAGCTAAGATGGATAATGCCATTATTGGTTGTTGTGGTGATGTAAATGACTCCCGCACCGCCATCAGGCAAGGTGGTGTTACAGAACTCCTTTGGTCACAACCAGCTCCAATTTGACAAGCCTCTGAGGCTCGTCAGGTCTTGGGGTTGGCCCTTAAAAGGGAGGAATCCAGGCTAGTTGAGGAGGCCCTCTGAAACAAGCAGACCTGGAGCACAGGGCTCCCAGCCCCGGGCCCTAGGTTACTGAAGGAAAGGCTTGAGCACGCTGCCTGGCCTAGCCTTTGGAGAAAGAAGACGGAAAAGAAAACCAGCCTTTGTTGGAACCCCCGGGACTAAGCCTTGGCTTTAGCTATAGGGGCCAAGACTTCCTTTGGGGATCTGAATGACTGGCTTCCCCTTATTGGCACAAAGCCCCGAGGGCGATGGAAGTATTTTCTTTTTCATTTGGACTGTTCTGTACCCACCAAAGGGGGTGGACTCAAGCAGCACAGATGAAGGGACATCCCGAAGGGGATTTCAAGTAACGAGGTAATGATGTAGGAGGTAAGTGAAATGCCCTTCCCCACTTCAAGGGTGCAACTGGGGAATGTAGCCTTTGACAGATGTAGAAACAGGGAGAGCAGGAGGAGGGAGTGGCATTCCCCCCATGCATATGGCACTGGTGAGATTATTGCTGGAATATAGGGTCCAATTCTAGTGTTTACACTTTTAAAAGGACATTAAACAAGAGGATTCAAGAAAGAGCCATAAGAAGCAGACAAGGTTTGGAAAGCTTGCCTTCCAATGAGAGACGTAAGGAGCTCCATCTATTTAGTTTATTGAAAATTAAGTTAAGAAGGGACTTTATCACAGCCTAGAAATATTTACATGGGGAAATTTCTGATAGCAGATGGCTCTTTCATCTAGCAGACAAGGCAGAACAAGATCCAATGGCTAGAAGCTGAAGTTGGACAAATTCAACCTGAAAGTAAGGCACAAATTTCTAACAGCACAGGTAACTAACCACTGGCCAACAGAGATTCTCCATCATTTGCAGTCTTTACATTCCCAGTGTCTTAAGTTATTGGACTCAATGCAGGAATCACTGGGTGAGGTTCTCTGGCCTGAGTTATGTAGGAGGTCAGATTAGATGAGCACAATCGCCCGCTCCTGGCCTTTGAATCTGTACCAATCTTCTAGCTCATACGAGTCTAAATAGCAGCCATCCACGCCATGATCCCTCAAGCCTGCCCCCCCATGCAGCTGGAATGGTCTACACAATATGGGTCATCCCAAGCTCTCTGGAAAACACCATCACTGGCTTTGCCACAACTATCCGTGCCAGGGACACCAGCACCAAGACTAGAGTTTCTTGCACCTGGAGCACCAAACTCTTGGGGTTCAAGCCTCAGGTCTTGGTGCAGTAGTTACTCTGATTCATCAAGTGATCGTACACCTGCCAAGAGAGAGCAACAGGATGCCCTGAAGTCGGTATTGTAGGCTTCAGGATAGATTCACAAGAGCAGCAGTAATCAAACTAGGTTGCCCAGAATATACACAGAAACTTTATCCTCCTCCCTGCTTCAGCCAAGTGAATGCAGGAGGGTGAAATCCAGAAGCCTTAAGGCAGAACTGTCCAGAGTTGGGGCTTTGACAGGGTGTGTCAGAAAGCCCAACTTACAGGGCCACTCTGGGATGCCTCAGAGGGCTTGAAGGTACTCCACACGCCTCTTCACCACTCAGGTACATCCACTGATGTGTCCAACACCTCGGCACTAGTGGTAAACTCTGAGGCAGACAATATCCGCATGCTCAGCAGCCTGTGACAGATTTTGGAGCAGAGGAGCAGCCTCCTTCCTCCTTGTTTTCCCTTCTTCTGACACCAACGGCCCTCTGCTGATACCTATGTCACCTCTTTGCCAAGTGATGGCAGATATTAGGGCTTTGCCCATTAGCTTCCCAGTGGAGAAGTGAACAATATGGAATCTGGGTGTATTCCAAGTGTAACTCATTTTATTTGCATACATACACCAGCCCCGGAACAGAAATGCAGGCAATCCCTTTTTTTCAGGAATATCAGCCCAACTCCAATGCCTGATTCCCAGGGAGCAATTCTGTCTCAAGAATTGACCCCAGTCAGAGACCAAGGCAGAAAGCAAACTCTCCTGCAGCTTGCACAGCTCCCTCTCCAAGAACCACTGCCTCTACCCAGAACCTCACCTGTAAAACAAACACCACCACAAGCATTTCTTTGCAGACCAAAAACCTGCCACCAAAAGACACCTGCCAAAACAATACCATACACAAAAACAGGGTGAGTGAAGAACAAGCATCAAACAGAGAGACACTTAAGTGGATGTCGCTCAGTGTCAAGTCACCAGCCAAGAGACAAAAACAGGTATTGGAGCCCTGGAAAAGGCCAAAGAATAGTGGCTCCTCAATGCCAAGGAAATTGCCCAAACATGCACCACCATGCCCAGGCAATGGCCTCAAAACTTCCCACAGATGACCACAGCTGCCTGGAAAGCAGTTGCAGACACAAACCACCACCAGATGAGTATAGCTGAGACATGGGGAAGAGCTGGAGTGCTGGTTTGATGAGGTGCAGTCCCTGAAGCAAGCTCATTTACTAGCTGTGATGTTGAACATTTGGAGACATTTATACTCCGTGGGGATGGCAGACAAAACTGCCAGTAAGCAGCCTGGCACTGATGCCATGCTATTTTCTAGGGCCCCAAAACCTGAACAGCTAGGAGAGGGTTCTAACGAGTCTTGAGCTAGGAACCAAAGACCCATCAGTGAGAATCCAGCACAGATCAGGTTCTTAGAAAAGGAATTTTCTCCCCATATGCAGGTGTATACAATTGGCCGGGGGCATTACAGGGAATTTTCACCTTTCCCAAGGTGAATTGCATCAGGAATTGGTAGAAGCAGAATGCTGGTTTGGATAGACCAGTGGTTCCCCCCCCCCCCCCCCCACCACTACATTGGTAAATCCTAGGTTTCTCTTCCTTTACGTTGATTAACTCCAAGTATGGGCAATTGGAGAGGCCCATGAGCTCTGGCCTGGGGATAGCCACAGGAATCTGCTGGCAGGGTCCATGCCCATCAACCAAGAACACTTTTCATTTGGGAAGGAGGAAGAGGTAGAGAATAGGGTCTCTTACGCCAGATCTATACCAGCAAAGCGCTCCTAGTGTGGACTCAGCTATACCCTCTAACCCTGAGCAAAACAAGCTAGACTAGTAAAAGTGCAGTTTTGCCACTGTGTCTACCCTACAGGCTGCTGCCAGCACAGCTATATCAGTCAGGGATCACACCACTTCACAGCTCAAACTCATAGCTCCGCCAGCAGAAGTCTGTAGCCTAGACACAATCTTAGGCTTCTCTTCCACCCACCCAATTTAAAGCTATAGGACCTAACTTTGATCCTTTGTCCCAGATGCCAGATTTTTATTGGGAGTCTGGAGTGACCAGCTGTTTGGGTGGGATTGTTACACTGCCCCCAGCAGCTGGGGGGGGGGAGGGCAGAAATGACTGTAGGCACAAAGGGAACTTGGAATGGGGCCTGGCTTGTGAATGGGCAAGAGGCATGGTTGGAGCAATGGGGTGCAGCTTGGTTTGGCTTTTGCTCCATCAACCCCAGAGGGCAAATGTGCTACTGTCCCTTTCAAGATGAGAAATTAAGCTAGGATGGAGGTGATGACAAAGTCATGCTCTAATCAGGAGCTTTGAATTTGGGAGGTAGTTTGAGGGAATGGCAGCACAGTTTACAAGGAAGAAGCAGAGTGATGAGAAGTGAGTGAGCTGCAGGCTAGAATCAGAGCTGGGACAACACATCAGGAAATGAGAGAAAGCTTCTACTGGGGCAGAAAAGTAACTCAAATAATAGCTCCTTCTGACTTAGTTGAGAGGGTCATCCCCACCCTGTATCCCAGAGCCATGCACCATACCCCATACCACAAGACCACTCCCTGCAGCCCAGAGCCACATCTCAACCCTTACCCTGAACAAGTCCACATGGCAGGTAAAACCCCACCTCCACCCCACAGAGCCATACCCACTCCCATCAACAGCCACAGCCCACCCCTTGCAAGCATGTTCTGCAGGCACCACCAGCAGATATGTCCCACCACAACCAATCCAACAGCAACCTCCAGGCAGAGCTTTGCCCTGCCCCACCCCATTCCCACTCTCCCAGGCACACCCTCTGGGTAGAGCTGTTGCTTTAGGGACACAAAGGCATCTCCTCCTTTTTCCCCACTCTAGGGCCTACAACATAGCTCAGGAAGAGGGAGCTGGAGTCTAGTGTGACTCCAGCAGCAGCAACAGTATTTTTAGGCACTTTCAAATACAAACTTTTTATTCTCACGTGTGGCGAGCCAAGCACATGGGACACTCGGCAGATAAAGTCTCTGCCCAAAGGGCATGCAAACCAGGTGGCGAAGAGGAGGGGAAAGGGCTCTGGAAAAGCCCTGCTTGACTCTGATGTGGAAAAAGGTATTGGGAAAACAAGCTCAATAGGTGTAAATGTTCCAATCCCATTTGGCGTCTGAGGGAAACAAGAAGTCCCCCAGGCCAAAGCACAACCTACAATCAACCACTGTATAGCCAACCACGGGCAACGCACCATCTTAGCTGGGCTAACCAAAGGCTTGCAGGGCTTCTAATGATGTCAGAACATGGGGGTAGAAGAGACACACTGTATTTCCTGGAGACCCAGAGCAAGCACTCAACGCCAGCACAGCCTGGTCTGAAATTCTGGGCAGTGGGGCAGACTAGGGACCCAGACTGCCCCACGTGCTGGCAGGCATCAACACTCAGCTGCGGCCACCTGCCACCAGCACAGACAGAAACAATCCTAGAGACAGCTCCTCATCTGCTCCACCCTTTCCCCATAGACCCCTACCATCTTCTCTCCCACTTCCCTAGAACACAGGTACCCTCCCCCATGAGGGGAGCAGCACCCGCCCCTGCGCTCCCAACCCTGTTCCCCCTCCCCCATGAGGGGAGCAGCACCCGCCCCTGCGCTCCCAACCCTGTTCCCCCTCCCCCATGAGGGAAGCAGCACCCGCCCCTGCGCTCCCAACCCTGTTCCCCCTCCCCCATGAGGGGAAGCAGCACCCGCCCCTGCGCTCCCAACCCTGTTCCCCTCCCCCATGAGGGGAGCAGCACCCGCCCCTGCGCTCCCAACCCTGTTCCCCCTCCCCCATGAGGGGAGCAGCACCCGCCCCTACGCTCCCAACCCTGTTCCCCCTCCCCCATAGCGGCTCTGTAGATATATGCTCCCTCCCTCCCCCTTGCGCGGAAAAGGGGGCGGGGTAGGTGCGCGCCCCCTCCCCCCTGCGCGGAAAGGGGGCGGGGGAAGGGTCGGTGCGCGCCCCCTACAATGCGCGGAAAGGGGATAAGGGTCGGCGCGCGCCCGTCACCATGCCCAGAGGGGGCCCCTCCTCCCAGGGGCCCGGCCCCTCTCCGCACGGGTACCCCAGCCCCGCCCCCACCCGGGAGCAGAGGCAGAAGGCACCCCGCGGGCGAAGGCTGGAGCCGCCACCCCCTCCCTATCCGGGACCGCGCCGCCCCGCAGGCCGCGCTAAACCACCGCAACCAATGAGGACCCGCCCCCAGCTCGACCGCGGCTCGTACCTGGCTCGCCGCGCCGCCCGCACTGCCCGGAGCCCGGATTCGGGTCGCGGCCCCTTTAAATGGAGGCGCCGCTCCGAGCCCTCAGCGCGCTGCAGCCCAAGGGGGGGCGGGGGCGACTCCCCATTGGCTGCGGCGGGAGGGGGGTGGTTCCCTATTGGCTGCGGCGGAGCTTGGGCTCGCGAGACTCCCTTTTAGAGGGCAGCCCCGAAAACCCGGAGCGGACTCAAGTGTCCGGGATCGGAGGCAGAACCTGGGATCTGCAGGGCGGCCCGAAAACGCGGGGTGGATTTTCGGATCGGAGGAGGATAAAGCCTAAAGAAGCTGGAGCATAGCCCAGAATGGGGGGAGCCCGGGAAACTCGGTGTGGCAGCCGGGCCCGGTAAGGGACGCTGCCTCCGCAGCTGCCCCCCATGCTTGCTTGTGGGGTGAAATCCCGGCGCGGAACCCGGGATCAGGAACGGCACCGTTTGCATCGTCCCCTCCTGGGGGCTGCCCGCAAAGTGCGGAGCGGATCCTGCCGCCGGAGCGGGAGTACACCACCCCCCGGAGCCGTCTGCCCCGTTAACCCTCTCGGGCCCGGGAGAGGCCGCTGCGGAACGGGCCCCGCCTCGAGCCCCGCGATGGCTGGCCTCGGCCCCGGGCGGCCCTGCCCTGCGAGCGCGCGGGAGCCGCCCCCCGGCCCGCTCCGGCCCCTACCTGCGCCACTCGGGAGCCGCCCGGCCCGCTCCGGGCTCCGCCGCCGCCTCCCTGGAGCTGGAGCGTCTCCCCCGGGCGGTGAGTGACAGCGCGGCCGGGCGGGGCTTCGGCGGGGGCCCGGGACACGGCACCGCCCCCGGGCTGGGCTGCGCCCGGACCCCGCCCGCCCCGGG